ACTTGTGTGTTCTCCTTTTTTTTTTTTTTTTTAAACCACACTTAGTCAGATGTTATGGACACACTTAGGTCAGCCGCAAACTGTCACTCAATAATTTCCAGGATTTTTTTATTTTATTTTATTTTATTTTTTTTACAGTTGGCAGTTTAAAAAAAAAAACAAAAAGGAAAAAGTTGTTTGTTTAGCATTAGGTCACCAATTTTTCTCACAGCCCATTTAAAATTGCATTAAAAAAAAAAAAATTCCGACATATGTATATTGCTTTATATGTGAATATATTAAATAATAGTTTTGGGAATGTTTAAAAATTTGTAAAAGGACTATCATTTCATGGTTTAAAAGTGTAAATAATGTGTAAAATTTACCAAAGCTGTATGCAGGAGGGTCAAGGAGTGAGCCCACCCATCCTCACCAGCTCAGTCCTCCTCATGCAGTTCCCACATCCAGTCTGTCAAAACTTACTACCCCCCCGTCGCCGACTCACACAGCCCTCTCTATTTTATTTCAGTGGCCGGGGACATTATCGTGTTTTTTTTTATTATTATTATTATTGTTGTTGGTGGTGTTTTTTTTTCTTTTTTTTTCTTTTGTTATTTTTCTATGTACAAAATAAGTTTCACCCTACTACTGTAAGTATTGTGTAAGCACATTGTCATACCGAGTGTACAAACATTTTAAAAGCTAATAAACTTTTTTGTAAAATTACATTCTCGCGCGGCATCAATTAACCAGCGACTGACTTGTGATTCACAGCTTTCGGTGCACACCCAGAGTCTGGATTTAGATCCACTCCCGCCTCTTAATAAGCGGTGCGCATTGCGTGGATGCCACTTCGCGTACTGCCGAGCCAGATGTTCGGCCCCAGCGAAGGGGGGAAACAAAGTGATCGACTGCCCTCATTAGAGACGTTCGGTGCTCTAAATATGGAGACCTGTGACGAGCGGAGAGCTGCAGCGCTTCCCCCCCCAAAAAAGCTTTTCCTCCGTCCCAACCCCCTCTCCAGTGTGTGCACATTCCGCAGCCCCATGCCTGTGCGCTCCAGACCGCAGTTAAGCAGTCCCTTCTGGAGTGTGTGACGGCATGTAACGCCGCCCGAGGCCATGCGAGATGCCTGCTCTCACTTAGAAGCGAAGGCAGAGAGATCATTAACAGATCTGAGTTAGAAGGGAAGCAGTGAGAATTTTTTTTTTACTTTGGATGAAGCTATTATTTTCATTTTTCCAATTATTAAATACCTCTTAAATGATTTCCCCTTCAGGGTTTTTGGACAGGAAATGTTCTTATACAGTAAATCCCTTGATAGGAGGTAGTAGATTCCAAGTATGTCCTTTACTCCAATGCAGCGAGCAAAAGGGTTTTCTGCTTTACTAAAAGTGACAGACAGGACCTACAGAGTGCTTCCCACTTAGGGTCTTTAGCAATTTATGTCAAAACAGAGTTGAAATGACATAAACAAAGCAGGATTTTATGCAAGCTGGCTGTTTGGAACTATGGCAGGCGTGGGAGAAACTAAAAATAAAACTATATTTGTCAAGCTTTTAAACCTTTTTTTGTCCTCTCTAAGCCATTTGCATTGACAGACATCAGCATTCATTGGAGGTAGTTCAGCAATTATCCATCACTTTCAGAAACTCTTTCAACTTCCCTGCTTGGTAAATAGTTTGTACATTACATATGTGCACATATTTTTGTTCCGCTGCAGTGGACACCATGCACCAGTGTTTATATTCTAGTCTCCGGGGCCCACTGTGTCAGTTTAATGCAATAACATTAGTTAATAAATATTGTGGTAGAGTTATTGTCTAAAAACACAATAAAAAGTTT